CATAAGAACATAAGAAAGTGGGATACTGCAGGAGGCCGACTGGCCCATACAAGGCAGATCCCTTTCACACCCATCCCAGCACTTCCATGTGCCTATCCAACTTCGTCTTGAAGCTCCCTAGCGTCCCCGATCCTACTATAGCACTCAGTAGCCTATTCCACATATCCACAACTCTATTACCAAACCAGTGCTTGCCTATATCCTTTCTGAATCGGAATTTATCTAATTTAAAGCCATTTGTTCTAGTTATTTCGTTATTACTGAGCTTCAGAACATCTTCCATTTTACCTTGTTAATCCCACTTACCCACTTGTACACCTCTATCATATCTCCTCTAACTCTACGCCTCTCTAATGAATGTAAGCCTAAGCTTTTCAGTCTTTCTTCATATGGAAGGTTTCTAATATTATGGATCATTTTTGTCATTCTTCTTTGTACTCTCTCCAAAGAATCTATGTCCATTCTATAATAAGGACACCAGAACTGAACCGCATAATCCATGTGTGGCCTCACTAATGCTAGGTAAAGTTTCAAGATAACGTCAACAGTTCTGTTACTCACAGACCTAGATATGAACAGAATCCTGTTTGCCTTGTTCTGACGCTAATACATTGTTTTCTGGAAGTTTCAGAGTGATTTAACAAATACACCTAGATCTTTTTTCACAAACTGAGTTTTCTATTTCCGCGTTACCTAGTTTATACTTAACGTTTGTATTCGTCTTCCCTATCTGTAGTACCTTGCATTTATCAGTATTAAAATTCATTTGCCAGTCTACTGACCACTCATGTAAAGTATCTAGATCTCTTTGAAGGTGTTCAAAGTCACTGTCTGAATTTATCACTCTCCCCATTTTGGTATCATCTGCAAATTTACTAATCCTACTAGTTATGCCTAAATCAAGATCATTAATGAATATAACAAACAGCAGAGGCCATCACAGATCACTAGAACTCCGCTTTTGACCGCACCCCAGTCTGACTTTAATCCATTTATGCTGACTCTTTGTTTCCTACCAGTTAACCATGACCTAATCCATTTTAATACTGATCCACCTATTCCATGTGCTTCTACCTTCCTTATCAATCTCTCATGAGGGACTCTATCGAATGCTTTACTGAAATCTAAATAAATTATATCATATGACTTATCATTATCTACCGCTTCAGGCAGAGGGAGGGACGAGGAGGGAGAGGCGAGAGCAGGCAGGCGGGAGGGGCGAATCTAAAAATAGCGTCTCAAGCCGGACACTCTACGCGTATACATGGATAAAACCTGCGTTAAGTGAAAGTTCGGCTCTGGCGAGGCACCGCGTATACGTGAAATCGCGCTAAGCGAAACCGCGTTAAGCGGGGTATTACTGTATTTAATTACATTGTTGTAGTCGCAGGTATATAGGCCACCTGTATGTTTATCAAGTAACAACCTACCGTGTGTGTTTATGTTGAGTCTTACTTTGCATTTGCCGTTGCTCGTTACAATTCACCCACTCTTGAAATATTATACCCTACTGTAAATAGTTAACTTTTATTTAGTTAATTAATTTTTTTATTCTTTTTCAGAATCACAAAAAAAGGGAAAAAAGAAAAGGGCATTTAAAGAGGTTGCAATGAAAGTCAAACCCAAGAACATGAACAAGAACAAGAACATGAACAAGAACATGAACAAGAACATGAACAAGAACAAGAACATGAACAAGAACAAGAACATGAGGAAGACGACTAAGGTGGTTGGTAATGGCAATCATGTGAGTCTGATGGTGGATGGTTACTCTGATTGGGTGATTTACAGAACAATAATATGGGTAGATGGCGGGAAATGTGAGGCTGTGGTATAGTAGAGAATAAGTTCATGGTATGTTTTGGCAGTGAAGAAAATTGACAGAAAGAAGAAAAAAAAATTGACATTGTCTTACTGCCAGATATGTACAGTACCATAGTTATTGGCTGAGGTCTTGATACTATTATTTCCAGGATTTGTAGCCAAGTTTGTGATTTTGTAGTTTATGTGTGTTGTGGGTGTCAGTTGGCCAATCAATCTACATGTGTTGTGGGTGTTTATTTAGAAGTCTTTCTTTGTTCCCGGTGAGGTGGAAGTAGATTTGGAGAAAGTTAACCGAAGTAGTGGCTAAGATGCTCTTGCCTAGGGAGTGGGAAGGAGGGGCAGGATGGTGAGGCTACTTCAGATTATTCAAGAGTCATTGATTTCACGACTCTTCTCTACTGTCTTGTTTAGAAAGAAAAAAACAGTTCATGATCAACCCCTCATATATTAGTATCTGGGGAGTTAGCATTATTGGTGAGTAGGTTCTTATAGTCTTAATGTTAGAAATATATTTTAGGGAATAAGAAATGCATAATTATCACTCATCACTTATGGTTGTTGGTGAGTCAGAGAAGTCAGGGAGTCATCACCCCTCTGAACTCATCACTTATGGTTGTTGGTGAGTCAGAGAAGTAAGGGAGTCATCATCCCTCTGAACTCATCACTTATGGTTGTTGCTGATTCAGAAGTCAGGGAGTCATCACCCCTCTGAACTCATCACTTATGGTTGTTGCTGAGTCAGAGAAGTCAGGGAGTCATCACCCCTCTGTATCTTAGTGTGAACTGACTGAGAGATAAGGAAAGGTCTGATAATGTAGGATTCCACTTGACACACTACCAACTCACTCTTCATGTTCTCACAACTTCACAGCACCTTCACAGTTTTTCTTATTGTAGTAACACCTCCCCATAAGTCAGACTATATGGGGCTCAAGCTAGTCCGATTTATCTGAAAGTCTGACTTGTGTGGGAACCCCCCCACCCTTCCCGGTAATTTGGACCACCGTTTTACTGAAAAATTACACCCATAAACAAAATCAAAGTTAACAATACCTATCTACAGTGTACTTACATTGTAGTGGACTAATCTTAAGTTGGAGGACAAAGGGGTCACTTACTTACTTTATTGTAGTATCACTTATACGATTTAGTTTCACTTATATTTATCTGTACAGTTATATACTTAAAACGAGGTGTAGGGTGAGTGATGGCAGACCCACAGACCCTAGTCATACTGTATCTACACTATATACTGTACAATACATTTACCACTCACTTCTGGGTTAGAAATGTGTGGTACTGAAGGAAACATGGCCTAATAGATGCAGGGATGAGGTTTCGGTGCATAAACAGCATGACTAGTTACCCGGGAAAATATAAAATTCGCTGCGCTACTGGGATGCCAATAGACCCCTACTACGCCGTGCGTCCTGGGATGCCATTACACCTTAAAGGGAAGGAAATAGGATGTTTGTCGGTGTAGTGCTATAGTGTGTGCATGTGTCAGTAACAGTTTGATTACAGGACTTAAAGAAATATTCCTTTTATTTATTTATTTTTATTTATTTTTTCAGAAATCCCAAGAAAATGTTTCATCGATGTCTCGTGTAAAAGTTCCTGGAGACAATGTACTAAAGACTTCTATGAAAAGACAGTTAAAGAAAGACTCTGAAAGTCCATCAAGTCCATCTAAAATGGAGAATAAAAAGCAAAGGAGTAATTCTGAAAAAGTTGTGAGTGTGGAAGATGAGGACCTTGAAGTAGGTACGTTGCTACATATACTTTGTTAATCAGCTGATGTAGCAATTAAATGATAATACAGTATTATATGTATAATGTCAAGTGGTCTAGACTTAATCACTTAAATTGTAGGAACTTTAATCTTGTTCAAGACAGGTTTCTGGCACATAAATAGTTTTGTACAAATTGTCAACATTAATATTTCCTGTGGATACGTAGCATCATGCTTGAGAATTTTCCAAACTTGTCTGTAATTCTGGCTGTTAGGATCCCTGGAGTTATTCCTGAGGTTTACCCCCAGGACACCAGTCCAGAAACTGCAGCAGAGACCAGGGGACGGGAACAGTTTTGGTGACCTGTTTGCCATCAGTCATGTTGGAAGTAAAGTTTTACACCTATAGGGTGGGAACAGCTGGCAAGTCAGGGTTGTAACTCCCTGAGGTACCAGTATTCAAAGAATACCTGCCTGGGCAGTCCATAGATTCTTGTGGTGACTTTAACACTGGTGACTAATAATGGTACCTATAATGTGGTGTGTGTTATATATGTATGTTTCATCTCCACCAGGTTATTGTTCACAGGGGAGCGAGACTTCAGTATGTCTACGCAACGTTGTATCACTGACTTTATAGGGGCAGAGTCTGCAAAAGGTGCCAATATGTGTTATGAGTAAATGTTAAATAGTATAGCTACTGTGCTGTACAGGAGGAGTCAAAGGTCCATAACTCAGTTTTATTATAATGATTGTTCACACACACACACCATTTCTTAATACTGACACATACAGTAGGTTTCAGCACATCCGTTTCTGAATACACTACACTGTATTATTATTATTATTATTATTATTATTATTATTATTATTATTATTATTATTATTATTATTATTATTATTATTATTATTATTATTATATTTTAGCCCCCAGGCCCCAATGTGGGTCAGTGACCTGTGCCCGGGTGGGCTGATTCCCTGTAAAAAAAAAAAAAAAAAAACTAACCATTCTGAAAACCGAAAAATTACAAAAACCGAAATGCATCTGGTCCCAAGGATTTCGGATAAGGGATTGTCAACCTGTACTACATTTTTTTTGGGTTTTCATTATGGTTTTGTTATTGACTTGTAAGCCACTTGTTTCTGGCATCACTAAAGGAAACAGTCACGTGGCATCACATCTGGTCTATGTAGGCAGGGAGGGAGGTGTTCTCTTGGTCCATGGCCTCTCATCAACCTCACAGTGATTGTCTCATCCAAAATACAAAGGAAGAACAGAGTTAAAAATAATTGCTATGATTCCAGACTTTTGAATCCTCCTGTACAATGTGTCTCAGGCTTGTACCTCTAGACTAAATGATCATCAGAATGTATACATAAGCTTAACCAGTCTATGTGTCCCATGATGTCAGACAGAAAGATTTGATGATACATTGCTGTGTGTTTTATCCAGAATGGTCAGGGTCACGGGTGTTTCAAAATTATCGATTATTTTAATGTTTTATTAAAGAATATTGTACTATTCATCCCAGAGTAATGGTTAGGGTAGTTGGAGCTAGGTATGTTGAATTACCAGACATGTGTGTGTGTGTGTGTATATACTCTATAAGGAACATCATACAGCTGGACTGGTAATTCATCATAATCACCTATTTCTGGCCATTTTCCACACATGGATGGGTTAGCTGTGATGACCTGATGGCAGCTCTTCAACCCGCACAGACTCGTCTAGCCTCTCTTGTCAGGTTCTTATTTCTTAGGTAATTTCTCCCAACGTCGCCCCCACGTCATTTTTGGCCTCTTCTCATGCATGTGGTTCTCTACATCAAACTTCACCAGTGCTTTCAGTTCCTAGCCGACCTCTTGGCTCTGAAGAGGGATTCCTGTCATTATACATCTGTCTGACCATCCTCATTTCGGCTCGCTTAAACCTACTTTCGTCATCCTCTTTAATTGCTCGAGTCCCTCTGCCAGACAACGACACACACTCCTCTCAAGCTAAGAGGTCCCCTTGCTGTCTTCCGTATAAATACAGCACGGTGTATATTTTAAACCCTGATGTTGATAGATTTAAGTATAATAACTAGGAATTTATTATTAGGCAAAAAGAAAAAGAAGAAAGACAAGTTTCTGATTGAAGACCGAAGTGAAGAAGTGGCAGCTGGCACAACTATAGATAGTACAGAAAGTAAGTGATCTTCCTGAAGAACTCCTAGAATAGTAATAGTGGAGAGCTATATGCCACTGAGAAAAATGAGTGTGTCTAAGAGTATTTAGGGGTCAGGCCCTGAAGAAAAGACCTTTTCTGTTCCCTACATGTGTGGAACTTAACCAAAATGAATCAGGAACATTATTTTCCCCTAATATTTAAGGTCATTAATTTAATACAGTACAGGTCTCCCTCCCAATTTTATTCCTTGGCAAGACCATCATTGAAGAACCTATAGTGGCATAGGGGATGTATTCTAGATAACTTAACATAATGGAATCAATAATGTACTTATCCCGTACATTTACCACCAGTGAGAGAGAAGTTGGTGCTGTCCATTGCCAAAACTTGCCGCCGGTACCGAGAAACACAAAATATTGGGGTCATTGGAGAGGAAAACCTGTACAGCATCTTGTGTGTGTGTGTGTGTGTTTTTTTTTTTCTCTTCTCTTCTCTGATGGTAATTTTCATGATTCCATCGTCTGAAAATAAGTAAAAGGACACATTATTTCACCCGTGGTGAAGGACTTATGAGACCCTGTACAGCGAGCTATGTTGGTCTGAAGGAAGGTGGGGATGGTGGGGTGTTACTTAGTGTAATGGCATTGAGTATTAGAGCATGGAGTAATAGTGTTAGAACAGCATGACATAGAGTTAAATTATAAGATAGCTTAATGTCAATTGTTTTATGGTTCAGGGGGTCCTCAGGTTACTGACGAGTTCCATTCTTGAGGACGTTCTTAAGTCGGAACACGTGCCTTATGTGCACTACATCATAGCCTAAGTCCTTTTATACATCTCAAATCACTTAATTTAAGAGAAAAAAAGAAATTGAATGACAAAATACAGTAAAGGAAAGTAATAATTCAAGTTTAACCTTTACATCTAAACCTTGAGACTGGCTAATCTTCCACCCATATCACTAACAATCTTTCCATTTCAATTCACAATCACTTCTTTGTTTTGTTATCACAGTTGAGTGCATTGGTGTAGATCCTTTTAAATGTTCAAGAATTTTCTGTTTGCCTTTCAAAATTGTTACGATCGTTGACCGACTGAAGCCCAACGCTTTACCAACCACTGAGGGTGTTTGGCCTTTTTCAGAACGTTTTATTACATCAACTTTTCTTCCATCGTAATTATTTTTCCTTTCTTGGATGCACTACAATCACTTGTTTGGGAGCCATGATGAGGCCAGAAAAAAGTTAATACACAAAAAACAACAATTTGTCCTTGATCACACACGTTAAGGCGGTGAGGGTGAAGCGTACTGATGCTCCCTCGAGGCACGTGGCCGGGCGATGCATTGCTCCCCACGCGCCGCTCTGCCTCCCCTCTACACCACACAAACTACCCTAGTTCTCATACGTTAATACTACGAACCAGTTGTACCTATGTCGGGTTCTTAAAATAATTGACCATAAGGGACGTCGTTCATATCGTCGGGTGTTTGTAACTCGGAGACTCCTGTACAGTAATGTTACAGTGGTTGATGGCAAAGTGTGTGTATGTGCCAAATTTATAAAGTACGTGTAATTACATATTTTACAGATTATATTACGGTTGAGATTGAACTGTACAGTAGTTCCCCGCTTAACGCAGTCAATAGAACCCACAGGGTACCGTGTTAAGTGAAAACCGCGCTAAGTGAACAACAGAACATATGGGATTAATTCCAATAGAAACTGGCCCGACCCCCAAACTCCACCTTTTGACGACACACAACTATGTTGTAGTAAAAATTTTATCTTAACTTTATGATGGTATGAACAAACAAGTAATATAGAAGAAGTTAGGTTAGGAAAAATAAAGGTTAAGTTAGGAAAAATAAAGGTTAGGTTAGGAAAACTAAAAGTTAGGTGTAACACTTATGTTAGTAGAAGACATACACTGCGCAACCTTACAGTGCGGCTTGCTCAGGCAGAGGGAGGGACGAGGAGGGAGAGGCGAGAGCAGGCAGGCGGGAGGGGCGAATCTAAAAATAGCGTCTCGAGCCGGACACTCTGCGCGTATACATGGATAAAACCTGCGTGAAGTGAAAGTTCGGCTCTGGCGAGGCACCGCGTATACGTGAAATCGCGCTAAGCGAAACCGCGTTAAGCGGGGTATTACTGCATTTAATTACATTGTTGTAGTCGCAGGTATATAGGCCACGTGTATGTTTATCAAGTAACAACCTACCGTGTGTGTTTATGTTGAGTCGTACTTTGCATTTGCCGTTGCTCGTTACAATTCACCCACTCTTGAAATATTATACCCTACTGTAAATAGTTAACTTTTATTTATTTATTTAATTTTTTTATTCTTTTTCAGAATCACAAAAAAAGGGAAAAATGAAAAGGGCATTTAAAGAGGTTGCAATGAAAGTCGAACCCAAGAACATGAACAAGAACAAGAACATGAACAAGAACAAGAACATGAACATGAACAAGAACAAGAACATGAACATGAACAAGAAGAAGAAGACTAAGGTGGCTGGTAATGGCAATCATGTGAGTCTGATGGTGGATGGTTACTCTGATTGGGTGATTTACAGAACAATAATATGGGTAGATGGCGGGAAATGTGAGGCTGTGGTATAGTAGAGAATAAGTTTATGGTATGTTTTGGCAGTGAAGAAAATTGACAGAAAGAAGAAAAAAAAATTGACATTGTCTTACTGCCAGATATGTACAGTACCATAGTTATTGGCTGAGGTCTTGATACTATTATTTCCAGGATTTGTAGCCAAGTTTGTGATTTTGTAGTTTATGTGTGTTGTGGGTGTCAGTTGGCCAATCAATCTACATGTGTTGTGGGTGTTTATTTAGAAGTCTTTCTTTGTTCCCGGTGAGGTGGAAGTAGATTTGGAGAAAGTTAACCGAAGTAGTGGCTAAGATGCTCTTGCCTAGGGAGTGGGAAGGAGGGGCAGGATGGTGAGGCTACTTCAGATTATTCAAGAGTCATTGATTTCACGACTCTTCTCTTCTGTCTTGTTTAGAAAGAAAAAAACTTCATGATCAACCCCTCATATATTAGTATCTGGGGAGTTAGCATTATTGGTGAGTAGATTCTTATAGTCTTAATGTGAGAAATATATTTTAGGGAATAAGAAATGCATAATTATCACTCATCACTTATGGTTGTTGCTGAGTCAGAGAAGTCAGGGAGTCATCACCCCTCTGAACTCATCACTTATGGTTGTTGGTGAGTCAGAAGTCAGGGAGTCATCATCCCTCTGAACTCATCACTTATGGTTGTTGCTGAGTCAGAAGTCAGGGAGTCATCACCCCTCTGAACTCATCACTTATGGTTGTTGCTGAGTCAGAGAAGTCAGGGAGTCATCACCCCTCTGTATCTTAGTGTGAACTGACTGAGAGATAAGGAAAGGTCTGATAATGTAGGATTCCACTTGACACACTACCAACTCACTCTTCATGTTCTCACAACTTCACAGCACCTTCACAGTTTTTCTTATTGTAGTAACACCTCCCCATAAGTCAGACTATATAGGGCTCAAGCTAGTCCGATTTATCTGAGTCTGACTTGTGTGGGAACCCCCCCTCCCCTTCCCGGTAATTTGGACCACCTGGACCACCGTTTTACTGAGAAATTACACCCATAAACAAAATCAAAGTTAACAATACCTATCTACAGTGTACTTACATTGTAGTGGACTAATCTTAAGTTGGAGGACAAAGGGGTCACTTACTTACTTTATTGTAGTATCACTTATACGATTTAGTTTCACTTATATTTATCTGTACAGTTATATACTTAAAACGAGGTGTAGGGTGAGTGATGGCAGACCCACAGACCCTAGTCGTACTGTATCTACACTATATACTGTACAATACATTTACCACTCACTTCTGGGTTAGAAATGTGTGGTACTGAAGGAAACATGGCCTAATAGATGCAGGGATGAGGTTTCGGTGCATAAACAGCATGACTAGTTACCCGGGAAAATATAAAATTCGCTGCGCTACTGGGATGCCAATAGACCCCTACTACGCCGTGCGTCCTGGGATGCCATTACACCTTAAAGGGAAGGAAATAGGATGTTTGTCGGTGTAGTGCTATAGTGTGTGCATGTGTCAGTAACAGTTTGATTACAGGACTTAAAGAAATATTCCTTTTATTTATTTATTTTTATTTATTTTTTCAGAAATCCCAAGAAAATGTTTCATCGATGTCTCCTGTAAAAGTTCCTGCAGACAATGTACTAAAGACTTCTATGAAAAGACAGTTAAAGAAAGACTCTGAAAGTCCATCAAGTCCATCTAAAATGGAGAATAAAAAGCAAAGGAGTAATTCTGAAAAAGTTGTGAGTGTGGAAGATGAGGACCTTGAAGTAGGTACGTTGCTACATATACTTTGTTAATCAGCTGATGTAGCAATTAAATGATAATACAGTATTATATGTATAATGTCAAGTGGCCTAGACTTAATCACTTAAATTGTAGGAACTTAATCTTGTTCAAGACAGGTTTCTGGCACATAAATAGTTTTGTACAAATTGTCAACATTAATATTTCCTGTGGATACGTAGCATCATGCTTGAGAATTTTCCAAACTTGTCTGGATTTCTGGCTGTTAGGATCCCTGGAGTTATTCCTGAGGTTTACCCAAAGTTGATGAGAAAATTTAGGGTGTTGGAGGGACAGTGGTGGCCTGAGTAGTCCCTACATCTTGGGCCAAAAATTTTCATGACCAGCAAAAGTTGTCAATTCTCAAATGTGAATCATGTCCATACAGTTGGGAATACACCACCTTAGCAGTGGATGTTATTCAGTGTTGCTGGCATATAGCTCAGTAGGTAGTGTTCACCCCTTGTGTGAATGTTGATGGGTATGATTATTGGTTCCCTCCCTGTACACTGGCACCTAATGTTTATTACAGAGTGTCAAAACTGGACTATGGAGGAGGAACTAGAGCTGCTGGAGAAGATGAAGGCTCTCGCACCCAAGAAGGACACCAAGAATTGTCGGGTCAGATTGAAAAATTTTAATTGGGATGAAGTGGCATTTGGTGACCACTCTGGAGAGAATTGCAAGAAGCGATTCATGGAGATTTACTCTCGTATCAGTTCCATGAAGTAAGTATGAGATGTAATAATAACCTAATAAGCTTTCATTGTATGTATTTGTAACTCTTCACACTTTTATATGAAATGATCATCAGTGTGCTATAGCCAGAGCTTGGATATGTGGGTGGGTGGGTACCTTTTGAACTAATGCTCTATTTTAATCTTACTATTTTTTCAGGACACTTGCGACAATTATAAAAGAGGCAGAAGAAAAAGTGTCGTCCTTCGCCTCGAGAAAGAAAGAGATTAGACAACCCATAAGTCGTTTCTCTAAAGACTTTTTAAGTAAATCCTCTGTGAAGGGGGTAAGTTTTTATATTGCATAATTATTATTTACTGTATATATTTGTCTTTCTTAATTCTAAAGTTGTTATTTTGTGTGTGTGTGTACCAGGTATCTTTCTTAACTAATATTCTCTATGATGAAGAGTAATCACCTTTATTTCCAGGCTCAAGACTTCTCGAGGCCTTATTTTCTGTTTTTAGTTGGTAAAACTCAAGATGGGAGCTAGTGCAGTATGAGCGAACAACAAATTTACAAATATCAGGGCTATTTTCCCATACGAATTGATGTAATTAGGGGGATGCTTCTCAGCTGGCAACTTTCACCATATATTTTATTTTATAAAGTACAGTCCTCATTATCTGAGGTCCAGTTGAGGAAATGTATTCCTCCATCCCCTGTGGTAACTCATATCTAAACAGCAATGTCACAGTACTACTAGTATCACTAATTATGAATGATTCACGTCCATCTCTACTCGACCAATACCCATTCAGTCATAAACAGTGAAATTACTATTGCGACTTTGCCATTTGGAGACGCGGGTTACCACAGGGATTGTAGGGACGCATTTCTCCAACTGTATCAGTAAATGTGAGGAATAAATAAAAATTATACTAATAAATAAGAAAATAAATACAAAAATACCACATTACCAGTTGACAATAGTTTCACTACACGTGGGACACAGTAGCGGCTGAGGTCCCTAAGCCCCCTTCTCTTCCTCCTCCCACGATCCACAAGCTAACTCCCATACACGTAGGAAATGTTTATTCCCCTTTTGATCTCATGATAATTGTTTCTTTAATTATAAATGTATATATATTATTTTATTTTTTATTTTATTTTTTTTCACATTCTGTATAAAGAATTGTGTGGGCATGTAACAGTAAAAAAAAAGCATATCTACTCAAAGTTACAAGTTGAAAAATAACAATAGCACAGTTTGGCTTTAAAATATCAATTGGGAATAAGCGGGATTGGAAATAGCGAGGTATTCCCGTGTTGTCATATTCTCTCCGGTCACTTTCTATACTTGCTCTTATGTATCAACAGCATCTATCAAGGCTGTTTAAACCCTT